GCCCCTCACCGCGCGCCGCGCCCGCAGCCCAGCCGCCGAGCCATGGCCCTGAGCGAGCTGGCTCTGCTCCGCTGGCTGCTGGAGAGCCGCCACTCGCGGAAGCTCCTCCTGTTCATCGTGTTCCTGGCGCTGCTGCTGGACAACATGCTGCTCACCGTCGTGGGTACGTACGGACCGGGCGGCCCCCCGCCCCGGGGACCCCTTCCCTGGGTACCTTCCTCCCCGGCCCCGCCCCCTCCGCACCTGAGCGCGCTCCGGGAAAGTTGGAGAACACATTTTGCAAAAACCTCTCCTTCCCCCTTCTTCCGTCCAGCCCCCATCCCCAGGTCTGCCGCACTGGGCTAGTTGCAGTCGCGTTTTGTGGCTTCGTTTTCCTGGTGGTCAGGTCAAAAAATGTGATCTCTGTTAAGAACCGGAACTTGTGTTTCCTCCTGATAATTTCCTGCTTCCCCCTGCCTACTTTGGCCGCGATGAAAAAGATTTCTACTAAGAACCAGCAATTCCCCAGGGTTCAAAATAATGTTACAATAATTATTATGCCAACCAGCAAGGTGGGTTAACAATTCGGCTTCACATTTAAAGGAACAAGTCAACATCCCTCCCCAAAAAAGGAAGTGACATGTAAATATATTGTTATCAATGCATGGCTGGAGATGGAAAGGTTTCAGGATCTTTTCAAGAGCAATTTAAACAGTGTTGGTTTTAGTCTTTTCCCTATAATGGATTTTTGAAAAACAATTAAAACCCAGGTCTCTTAATTAGCCCCATTAATAGCAGCATTTGGTATGCTTTTCCTTAATGTCTAAATTTCTAATGAATATATTTTTTAATTCGGATTCTCAGGGGTGGGTTATGCCCCTCCTCTCCATTTGTGGGTTCTCACCTCCAGGATTACCAGAGTATTGGGGCTCATCCGAGTTCAGTAACAGAGACCTCACTTCTCCTTTGTGTTGAATGCTCTGTTGTCACACACATGCCTAGAGCTGGCTATTACATCAGTTTTTCTTTATAGAAGTCTCAGGAATTTTTACATTTTCCAGGTTGTATGAAAAATTGTGGACTCCCACTCAAGTACTAGAAAGATGAAGTGGGCCTGTTGCAGAATTTCCAAATTATTACTTCCTGTGGCTTTATCTTCCCCTAAGACACATAATGAAATTTCAATTTCTATTTCTTGGATTCATTCACTGAAAGGTCTCTCTGAGTCTCTCTCTGAGGAGCTCTCGTTGACCCCAGGTCAGCCCTGAACAGACTTCAGACCCCATTTTGCTTTCCTAACCTATTCCTGGGAGGGAACCCTGTAAATGAGCAACCCCACAGAGGCCCAGAACCCCAGGCAGGTCCCTTCTGCACAAAGCAGACGGACCTCTTGCAGCCTCCTGGGGCTCAGCGTCCTCGAAGATTCCATCTATGTTGTTGTCCACAGTCCCGATCATCCCGAGCTACTTGTATAGCATTAATCATGAGAAGAACGCCACCGAAATCCAGACCGCCAAGCCAGGGCTCACAGCCTCTCCCTCAGACAGCTTCCAGAGCATCTTCTCTTATTATGACAACACCACCATAGTCACGGGGAACAGCACCCGAGCCCTTCATGGGGGGTTGCTGCTGCCGGCCACCACACAGCACGCAGTGACGAACACCTCCACGGGGCCTTCTGACTGTCCCAGTGAGGACAAGGACCTCCTGAATGAGAACGTGCAAGTTGGCCTGCTCTTTGCCTCTAAAGCTACCGTCCAGCTCCTCACCAACCCCTTCGTAGGAATGCTGACCAACAGGTAGGTTCTGTTATTTTGGCCAAGGAGGGGTTTTTTGTTGTTTTTTTAAAAAGGTTTTATTTATTTGAGAGAGTGAAAGAGCGCACGTGCGCACGTGTAGGGAGGAGCAGAGGAGGACCTGGGAGAAAGAATCTGAAGTCGACTCCACACTGAGTGTGGAGCCCCATATGGGGCTCGATCCCACGACCCTGAGTTCATGACCTGAGCCCAAACCAAGAGCCGGAGGCTTAACCAACTGAACCTCCCAGGCGACCCTGGCCAAGGGGTTTCATATTTATATTGTTCCCAAGTTATTTCTCCCTGGGATTCTGTTTCTTGTTCATTCATCAGAAGGTGGAAAACCAGTGGTGGGTGAGCTGGGGAAGAACCCCGATCTCCTCCTTTTTGTTTCCTAAATCACGATTTTGCATTTGTTCAGCCTTTCTGTTGCCCCCTCTATTGCTTAGGAAGTGAGACACTACTGAAAGAGAAGAAAGGGGCCCTCCCCAAGTGGGAGAACTCTGATTCTGTCTAAATGCCGGATTTCATTAGTGCATTTGTCAGACTCACCCTTGGGCAGCAAGAAGTCTGCAGCCACATGGCATCGTCATTGGATTCAGTGTGTCACACAGCTTTGTCTTGTCTTCTACCTCGGGTCACCCACTTCCCTAAAGAGAGCCAGGGTGGTTTGCTTTCCAGCTGGCGGGGTGAAGCCTCAAGATGGCAGTGGGGGGCGGGGGGTGTGGGGACTGTGGAGAAAGACCAGTGGTCCTGCCTCATCGTTGGAATTTTAGTGGACGCTGAGGCTATGGGCAGTGTAAGCGGCTCCCTGGCCAGTTACTGAGCTGGGTCCACGTGCACAAAGAGAAAAGTGAGGCTGTTTTCTGGATAAATCAAACCGGCCAACAATGCCCCCAGATGATGCTCCAAGCTAGCTTTATGTTAATCTGGATTTTTTTTTTTTTTTTCTGGACCCCCCTCCTAATTTTGAATAATTGTTCCCGTCTCTACTGTCAATGGCTATCTGGCTAGTATTCTACAGCTGAGGTGGCCCAGCTCTGCCTGGTGCGTCAGGGCCTCAACGCGGAGGCCAGGAGCCTGGAGAAAAGAGCGAGGCAGCCCCTGCTGGCATCAGCTGCAAAGAGGGGGAGCTGGTACAGTGTGTGTGGGGGCTGTGGATAGCCATACACACACCGTGGCCCTCAGGCAGAAAAGTGGTAGAGAGGGGAGTGCCCGGAGTCCTACTTGTGAGACAGGCGCAGACACAGGAGCGGAGACCAAGATTACAGCTGGAAAGGAGGCCATGGGGGTGGGGGGGTTTATTCCTCTGAATAAGGAAGGCAGGGCAAGCAGGACGGGCCAGGGCAAGGCTGGAAGAGGCCCCAGGTGCCAGGCCGGGAGAGGAGGGGGGTTTTGTTGGAGTGAGGGGGCACTTGGGAGCCACTAGATGTTCCAAAGCCAAGTTGAAGAGTCCAGGAACCAAGCACAATTTTCAGTAGGTCAGCCTGGCACCCTGTGTAGTCTGGGAGCAGGGATATCTTTACATTCACCCAGGTTTTGGCCTGTGGTAGGGGAAGCAGGCCCAGCTACGTTACTCGCAGGGCCCTTTGTTCAAATATTATTGAGCATTTCAAGAATGTACCAATAGATTATTAAAGCAAGCACAGGGCCCTCCTGAGAGTGGGGCTGGCTCTGGGGCAGAGAAAAGGAGGTCTGTTGAGTGGGGGGCCCCGGGGTGGTGGCAGAGGCTCAGAGGTGGATCTGGCCTTTCTGCCGACCCCCACACCGGGCAGGCCTGAGACGCACATACAGGTTTCTGGTCATGTACCCGTGGCCACTTGGATGGAAGCACGTTTTAAGCGTTTGCACTCTGACTCTCTGGACTGGGTAGCAGTGTCCCTGAATAAATTTTTAAAAATCCCAAGCCCCGTCCATCACCGCCCCACCCCCGCCGTCTGTGTCAAGCAATATTACGAAGCTGCCAGGTTAAAATATGCTGAGCAAATGAGCCTCGCAAGGACGGGCTGACTGGGAGCCCACCTCGAAGCACGGTTATCAAGGTGCCATTTGGAGGTTTCGCTCTTCTTCAGCGAGAAAACCAAATAGCCGTCGACGGGTTGTTTTTCTCTAAGAGTGCCTCTTAAAACGCATCTGGTGTAATTACAGAAAACGTCTCCGGGTTTTGTATTCTGAGAAAGCAAACAGCTCGAAGGCTATATGAGGAAAATTGAAGACATTACTGTAATAATGCCTCGCCAATCACTGGGGCACGAATCGTCCTAGCTGAGGAGTGCAATACAGCACTCAGAAACTCGGCCGAAATGGTGTGAGCGTCCCAATCTTCCAAATGCAAATGGCAAATGAAAAGCTTTTTTAAAAAAAATCCCATTCTTGTTTTTAATGTTTTGCTTACACCATGGGGAAGAAGCTTGTTTAAAGCCCGTGAGACCTTTTCCCCTATTAAATACTCCAAAGGCTTTGATATTGTAGCCACTCAAGGCTCCTGTTTGGGGCTCAAAAGAAAAAAAAGTCTTCCAAGAGAAACCTAATTTTGTTCTGTGACCTGTGAAATTCGGTCTCTTCTTGTGATGAGTTAATCCACTTTGCAGTTTAGAGCAAAATTGTAATCCCTGACTAGTTCCCCCAGCAAATTTCAAAAGCGTATCTATTGCTGCCTTGTAATATGGAAATGCAAACAAGTTGTAACATTGATACAGCGCGAACTCTGTTGTCCCTCCAAAATGATCCTGATTTTTGTATATTCAATATTTTCCAAGCCCACTAGACATGAATTTTGAGGATTTGCGGCGTTTCTGAGCACCCCACAGCTCTGCTCAGAGACGTGATATATTCCACTTTCCTTTACAGGGCTTTCCCTTGTGAGCCCCTGCAGTTAGTCTTTTGATGTAATTTGTGCCAATTGCATCCTCAATTATGAACAAGATGTGTGACTCACATTTTCAGCGTCGTAAACAAGTGTGTTTAAAACAGCATTTTGCAGTTGGTTAATACATTTCTGATTAAAGAAAGAGTGGTTAAAAGCATGGAGCATCAGAGCTGAAAGAGACTTTAGCAAGGGCTTTGGGGCCAGTCCTACCATTTTATAGGCAAAGGAGTTTGTCACTCAGGAAGAGAAATCGTCCGCCCCGGGCAGTGGCAGGGCTAGAGCCAGTGACCAGACTCCGTCTGGGTGTCTTCCTCCTTTCCTGTTCTTTCCACCTGCTTCGTGATTTATAGTTTTTACAATTCACTACTCAGAATCAACAGCGCAGGTCAGAACCTGTCCTCCTTGCATCTGTTTGGGCTCTAATTGTACCAGGCTGAGCTAGTGAAAGTGAAAGCCCAAACAGTGAGTTGTTGCTATTTTTTTTTTTTTTTGAGATCTATTTATTAGCGAGCATGTGCACACGAGCTGGGGGAGGAGGAGAGGGAGAGAGACTCTCCAACAGATTCCCTTTCGAGCACGGAGCCGGACCTGGGACTCGATCTCATGACCTGAGCTGAAATCAAGAGTCAGACACTTAACCAACAGAGCCACCCAGGTGCCCCCCGATTGCTATCTTTTAATCATCGGGTAGGGAGTTTAGAAGAAAACCTGTGTGGTTTTTTTGGACATGGACCCTCCCTTACCTCCCCAGCTCTGGAAAAATATCTTTCTCTTGCTCTCGGTGTGATCTGGCCCTGCTTGCTTCTGACAGTGGGGAAAAGAAAGGCCTCCTATATCCCCCGAAACTGGGGAAGCTACGGGGAGGCTGGTTGGAGCCCCTCCTTTCTAGAGCCTTTTGCTGTAAGTGGGACCCACTCATCACATGCGTCATGTCATGGCTCGGACCCTGCTATTCATGGTCAAGGTGCTGCTGCCTGAGTGGCTCTTATGGGTGGGTGATCCTAGAGGTGGGCTGCCGGTATGTTGTTTTAAATACTGGGTAAGTGCTCTCCTTCCAAACCCTGAGATAAAAAATGACAATTCCTGAGAAATGTTTAATTGCCCATTGCGCTGCTAATATACAAGTTTTATTCCTGTTTGATTTCATCTTCAGGTGCTACATTTTTACTGGAAACAGATGCCCAGAGAGGGAGCGAAGGACTTTTGATTTTGGCAAGAGCAGTGCTCGCATATCCAGCAGCAGACTTTCCAAAGCCTGCGGGTGCCTTGATTTTTATCTTTGAGGCTCATGAGGCTTCTAATTCCAGTTTATTCATCTCACGATTGCAGCTGTGCATCAAAGGGAGGGGGTAGAAGGAATTCGACTAGCAGCATCTGTTACCGTCTACCCCCGTGAGTGAATTTGAGGCATAGGTAGACCTAACGGGAATGTTCCAGGCAGACAAACACTGCAAAAGCACCTTTCTGTTTCTCTCCATAAATCAGGATAAGAACGTGGCATCATGGTCTTCACTTGCTTACTCTGGGGCTTCCGTAGTTGTTGCATCTTGAGAACCAAGAGCTGTTCCAGATGCACTGGATGGCTGGGGAAAGAGTTAACTCGGGGTGCTTGGGGGACAGCTCCCTCGGCTTCCTCCTTCGCTCGTTGTTGGCGGCTCCCTGGTCTGCTTTTTATCAAGCCAGCATCAGTGGCTTAATATATTTCCATAGTTACCTCGTATATTTGAAAGCCAGTTATTTGTCCTCACAAATCTTAGCCTACATCTGAATGACAAGAAGGAAGCCGCAGGGCATGGAGTCTCTACAGAATGCACAGTGGTAATTTTTTTTTCCTTCGCTTCAGCCAGTTGGTCCGAAGTAGGCTCTGTGGGAATAAGCAGTGACCTTTTCATTGCTTCCGAGGACGGGGAAACCAGCTCTTCTGGAAAGGGATCTCCCGTCTTAGATGTTGTTAGGATGGTGTGACACAGTCTTTGCCTCTGAACTGGAGAGAAGCTGGCAGTTGAATGGGGCGTTTCCTGTGGGAGCCAAGCCCCCACTTGAGCTGTGTGGCAGGGACAGGGGTCACCCCCACCCACAAAAGTATGAAGTCCATGGCTCGCGTAACTCCCTGCGTGCATCTGATAGCTGAACA